GTAATTACCAAAGCCAAGCCTACAACACAAAGGTGTGTTGTATCAATATTTGCTCAAGCTCAGAGCTGAGTACAACTACCAGAAATGCCAACAGTTAATAAACTAGAGATAAAGCAGGGCTCGGCACGTATCTCTTCTGTTATTTTGGCTTAATATTACTCACACTGACTGGGAAAATCTGTTTAACAGAGTCTTAACACGAACCTTTTAAGACTCATTGCATAGGTTGGGCTTTTTATCAGTCCTCTCTGTTAAGATCAGCTAAATGACATCTACGTGAAATGTGTAATGTGCCCTGCCAGTCAGTATTACAGCTCATAAAGGCAACTAAAAACAAACAAACACCAAAACAAAAAAACAAAACCCAGTGATAGCGGTTCTGATGCAAAACTACAGATTAACCACCCAGAGTGAGTGCACGAGATAACATGGCATCACAGATACATCAGATAAACGAACATACACACACTTAAAAAGGAAACGTCACTGATGTTGCATTGCAAGTTTAGTTTACCTGTTGCATTAAGTCCCACAGAGCCTGACATATAATGCCTTCCACAGCTCTGAAGGAAATTTGGGCTGTGTCTAAAATCATCTCGAACTCACGTAGTCGCCTCTCACTGTGTAACACTTGAAACGTGACAGCTTGCTCTGTAGTGAGCTGTAAATTCAGAATGCCAGACATAAATTTTACAGACTGGATTCAGACGCTATAAAATGATCGGTCTGCTTTTTTGTAAATAGTGAGTCTGGAGCTTAAAAGGCAATAAAAAAAAAGAAGCAAGTCTAGTAGTATTTCATAGTGAGATGAGCATGCAAATCGACTGCCCATATATGACCCTATCATGCAAAACACATATGTGGTATGCACTCACACAGGACATATGGTGATAAACACAACAAAAAAACAAAAACAAACAAAAAAATCAATAAGGACAAACAACATATCATAAGACATCTCACAGGACATGTGTGAAAGCACTGTTCTGCTGCCTGTCTAATACCATGGGGTAAGGCTGGAGGGTTTGGGATGTAAAGAAGATAGTAAGGCTCTGATTTCCACATCGTTCCATTAAGATCTTCATGTTTTCAGTCGTGATTCGCAGAGGTGGCTGATTGCCTGGTTTAGGGCGAGCTTGTTGTAAAAGGAGGGCTCAAGGTGCTCTAGGATCTAAGGAGGTGAGTTATAAGAAAATATGATGACAGATTCATGCTCATCCACACATTTTCTGTCTCTTTACCTTCATGTTTTGTTTTGTTTCTTTTAGGTCATGAGTGCCATGGTGCTCTCCGGCTGGCCGCCAAAGATACCTAAGAAAAACTCCAGCGCCAGGCGCACGTGGATGGGTACAAAGACGTATGAGGTGTAGACGACCATGGCGATGGCAGAGAAGAGGATGGAGTTGAAGATGGATTTTTCCCACGGCTCCAGGACATAGATGCCGGTGATGAGCAGGTATTGGTAGTATAACCAAGCCAGGTACTCCCTCAAGTTCTTGAAGTTCATTCTGCAGAAGTAGTAGTAGAAGAAAAAAAAAATACAAGGCTCAACAGAAAGTGTCGTAAGTACTAATAAGCTGGAAATAACATTGGTGGTGCAATTTTTACTGTTACACAGCTACACATTTTTTTATACTTTACATTTATCTACTGCATCTATCTTTGACAATTATGAAATAATAAGAAGCATAAAGTAGAAGCCGCATCACAGACCAACGAGCTGAATTTATGGACAAAAATAACTTTTTAGATTTAAAACCAAGACCGTGATGTTATCAGAATACGTCTTATCAAATATGACAAACGATATACGCTGAAGCGGTGGCAGGCAGTGATAGATCCTTCTCGACAGGTAGGGGGCGGGGCCGGCAGGTGCGTTACAGGTGCACTCTTCTAAATGTCGTGCAATTTATTAGAATATGAAAAACAACGTTTCCTTCCCAGTACAGACCCGCTATCATCAACCGTGTGCAATCAAATTAACTTTCCTTGTTACAAAAAGGGGTCTAATAGGACTGTTGTCCTGAAGCCTCCACGAGGTAGTTTCCTGTGATAGTTACCTTTCTTTTTTCATTAGTGTTAGGATGGTGCCTTGCTTAAAATGCCAAGTTTGACCCAGAAACCTGCAAGAATTTGCGCAAAAGTTATAAATTGTGCCCAAATGACATAAACAAGTGAAACTAGAGTTAGTTATCAACCCACAGCAATGATGACTGAATTTAGATTTTAATACATGTGTATGGACTATATATTAGAAGGCGTGCGCGCTTATTAGCTCTTCAGCCTGTGCCGTCACTCACCTCGGCAACCGACGTGAGATTCCTTCGTTATACTGCGATTATGAGACCAGAGGAGTCCCCCTGCCGCTACTGCTGCTCCGCTGCTCTGTGTAAACCAAAAAGCTGCTTCACCAGTTCACCACCAGCCTATATGTGGTACACACATGACACCACACCCACTACCCGTGCTTAGACTCGCGACTCACCTGGCTCGCAGATCACGCAGGTGGAGTGTCCGAAAGATGCGATGCATAGGCGGTGTTTGTTTACGCATAGAAAAAGAAAACAGTCCTTGCATAAGAGGCACGGTGGAGAGGCGTTGACTGGGCCGGACCTCTATCCCAGCCATGTGTGGTGTGCTGCTGCTTTGTGCGGCATCTTTAAACTTTGTTCAGTCGGTGTCGCATCGCCTCTGTCCCACCATGCTGCTGCAGCCCGACACTGCGCCACCTCTGACGTAGACAGCAGCGAGCAATCAAGCAACAGCAGCAGGAGCAGCAGGAGGATGGAAAACGGACAAACAAGCAGAGACCACACTGGTGTACCGCAACCCCGGCATGCTGTAGTTTGCATTTCATTAGAGGAAACCAAATTATTAAAGCGACAAGAGATCATACACAGAACGGCAAGAAGCGCGTTCAGCTGAATGCAGCTCACAAAGCATTTCCAAAGCAGCCTCCTCCTCCTCTCCATCCCCTTCTCCGTGATAAGACTAGATGAAGTAATAACAGGCTACAACACCTAATGCCTCTTTAATTATATTTTGCAACTCACACTGAGTGTTTCTGGGATGTCTGGGAATGCAGCCTTAAACATTCTCCAAAGTGTTTTGAAAACAAATCAGGAGTCCTCACATCTCCTTCTGGATTTGATCATTTCAGTCTATGGATTCATAGCCTGCATACAGCTGTGGGACAACCAAGGGAGCTCAGACACGCCTGTGGAAGAAACTCTCTCTCATATACACACAGAGCAGGATGTCTTTCTGTAAGCACACATACAGCTGAGAAATCTTATCTCCTAACTGTGAGCTTTGCTGACCAGCTCACTTCTTATACTGCATTATTGATGTGTAAACACGGGTAGCGCACCGGTGACGCATAGATGCACCGTCAATCCCGCAGTTAGCGTCAGGACGATGGATACTGGTCTGAAATGTCAGGCACAGCTCACGAAGGCGCTTCTTCACACCGGACACATGTTTGTAAAGGAGCTGCAGTGAAACCACCGACTGCTGCTGCTGCCTGCGACAAGCACTGGGGAAATCATCATTCAAATCGGACATCCACAGTCTTAAGCCTTTAGGGACTTTGTAGTCTGTAAACAGGGAAACTACAGGTGAATTAGGCCAACACACAAAAGAGAGAAAGAGCAGGGGGGATTCGCTTCATTCGTTTTCCCAAGTAGATCTGATTACCGTTAACAACCTGCTCAGGTTTGTGAAAAACAAGGGCTGCCCCCTCCCCTCCCTGAGTCAAAATGTGAAACTAACACACCCTGTGATACACACATTCCTCTGTTTTATATTACATAAAGCTGGCTAGTGGCGGGCTGAACTGTTCCAGCAAACATGGTGGCATGTTTAACCACAGTTCCAGTATGGTTTGCTTTAATGCATTCACATACAAAAAAAGAAATCAGATTTAATAGAGTTAATTAACCATTATCCTGCATATTATCAGAATATCAAGCAACATAATCCAAAAATGTTAAAGTCTTGAATTTTACTGGTCCAAAAGCCTTAAATTTGAGTGTTCATGTGAGAAAAATTGTTCTGAGGAGCATTTCTGGTAAAAGAGTCGGCTTTAATGTGCAGTGAAATCCAAAATTTGTTTGGATCTTTACATTTTTGCACCTTTTCAGTAAGCTGGAGCTAGGAGCTTGTCATAAATGTGCCATTAGTGGCACAATGGGTTAAGCATAGACTTGAGAGCATGATTTGAATGAACTGTGAAGGCACAAATAAGTGCTGACTTAAATGTATTGCATTTAAAGCACATGCTGGTGCGACAGGCTTCAAACAAGAGGGGAAGAATGCCCATTTTTACACTTTCGTTTTTAAATCAGCTCGCCTCACAGAGACTTTACGCTCGCTGGCTGAAGGTGTTGCAGCTGGACAGCATTTGCATTTTGCCCACAGTAGCCAAATTACACCATTAACAGACTTTGCTCAGCTTGCTGCCAGCCTCATTTAAATGAGTTACTTCCCATATCTTCCTAGCACAAAGCTCCCTCTGGTGGATAAATAAAGCAAAGCACTTCACAACATGAGCCTCTAAACCAGCAGAAAATGTGTGGGTAAGGATTTATTTCGATAAAGCAGCTGTAACTGCTTCATTTTCATATTATTCTGATATGACAAAGAGGATCATATAAAGACAGGAAATGTGATCTGAAGACCCAGTTTGGATAAAATCCACTGAGACCATGGAGATAAATTATCATGTTTCATATGACTGAGTGCCATTATGACTCACAGTTGGTACGTTTTAACCATCATAAACCAGTACACCACTGGACTTGTTTGAACCAACATATCATTTGTCCGTGTTTGAAACGGTCCCCAATTTGCAGACAGTTCTAAATCCGGTGTGCAATTGCACCGTTGTATTGTAAACGGGCCTTTATTTGATAAATCGGCTGTCTGCGTCACAATGTCAGAACGCCGACTGGTTAGTCCGTCATCATGTCGGCACCCTCTCCTCCTGTGGCGTCCGTTAGACTCAACTCCTCCAGCATCTCCGCCAGGGAAACGCGTGGTGCTCCGTCATCATCAGTGTCGCTCTCCACCGGGATCTTTGACGCATCTGAAATTGAAAAATCAGCATCTGCTCATTAAGTGTCTCATGCATCATCTGTAATGAACGTGTGACACAACTTCCATCAGAACCTCAAGCAGCCGTTGACGGTAAATGAGCCGTAACCTGACAATAGAAACCTAAACAAAGGCTCTGAAATCTCTCTCGTGATGCTGCTGCGGGAGTAAGTCTGTGCTGCGGTCATCAGCTGCTCACCTCTGAAGATATTGACGTTCTTCCTCAGTGCCTCATCTTCCTCCAGGTCCTCCAGGAAGTCCTGATATTGCCTGAAGACAGAAAAGTAAGTTGAGAGCAAAACCAGTCTGGTTACTTTACAGATAACAAAAGACAAACCACATGACACTCTGCGCTCTTAGTACACTAAACAACTATTAACTCCCTTGAGTCCTCGTTTCAGGTATCGAAGTGTTTTTCCTATGTGGTCTACACCAGAGACGTGCATGCTGGAAGTAACGGCTTTAATCTTAAAATGATAATAAGGTTATTATTTAATCTCACCTCAAAGGGAGGGAGTATGTAATCAGTTCTGATTGTTAGCAGTCTATCAACCAGTTTTTAACATGTAATTTTCACATTTTGTGCGTTGATAGCTCAAGCCGACTTAATTTTGGTGAAAAATTGGGTCGAGGTCATAGAAAATGTTAAAGTTGAAAAAACAGCTTAAAACGTTATATTAGGCACAATTTTTATGGATCATCTAAAACTTCACAATAATATACTGGGCCTTCCAGGACACGTGTACCTAGGTTGGTTAAGCATTTGACCTTCATTGCTAGCTCCAAAGTAAAGTTGACCTTGGGGGGGGAAAAAAATGTCAAGAAACCATATTGAGTAATACATCATATCACAGGGAGCGAGCTGTAAGAGACACTTTTTATGTTTTCTACACAACGCCCTTCGATGTCACAATGAGACCATAACAGGCTGACGCCAGCGTGACTTGACATCATAAAACATAAAAGTTTTAGCATAGCCTTTTACCTCTGGGAGAGTTGTGCCCTCTGACGGCTCTTTTTTAAGGGATATTTCCAAGGCGTTTCAAATTTATGCTAATTTTTTAAGAATACTTCATGAGGAGCACCCCCGACCCCCACTTTTTGATTAGATATTTTTTTATTCACCTGACTATTAATTCATAATATTTAGCCCTGTCAAAAGATTAAAAAAAAATTAAATAATCTCACAATTTTCTGTAATTAATCGTGATTAATTACAATTACTTGATCAATAGCCTGGTTGCAATTACATTTTTCAACTTTATATTTAAGCTTGTAACAGACATTTATGCAATATAATGAAGTAAATGCAGAATAAACAAAGAATGTTAAATGCTTAAATTCAAAGAGAATTTGAAGAGTGTTCTTCAATCTTTTAACACAGGATCTCTCCTGTGAAATACAACTTAAAAAAACTAAACTATATACTAATAGGTAAGTATACACAAATATTTAATATATATTAGTGCTTGTCAAACAATTAAAATGTTTAATCTGATTCGTCACAGGGTTACTGTGGATTAATTTTCATTCGCATTTCATTTTGCATGAGCAAACGGACTCAAGAAAAAAGGGAAAATATACACATTTAACATGTTTATTGAACATTCATGTTAGCAAAGAAACTGTAAATATTTATCCACTCCCTCTCTGTCACTCTTGGGGAGGCACGAGGAACCACAGATATGTAAAGCGCGTGTCCTCAACTATATTAACAGCTCTGCAGTTCCACTTGGCAACTGTGTCTGTCAATATGTTTAGAAATTGTATGAAAAGCTTAAAACTAATAATGAATCATTTTAAGAAGTATTTTCTGTGTATCTGAGTCTGAAGCAGCTCATTCATCTGTTACGCCTCCACTGTCGTCCAAAAACACACATCAGTGAGCTACAGCGCTACACTGGTTGAAACAAATCATTCACACCAATAAACCTGACTTGTATGACTTTCTTTTTTTTCAAGTGAAAACTATACAACTTCAGGTTGACCCTACAATAATGGAAGGAAAACTCCAACAATTAGATGACCCCTATGTGGGAGCACTAAGCGACAGTGGGAAGGAAAATCTCTGGCAGAACCAGGGTCAGGGAGGGGAGCCACGATCAGCTGGGAGTGAAGGGAGGACGACAGGAATACAAAAAACCCCAAAAAAACCAAACCACTGTATAAACATCTGAACATAGTCCCAAACAAAAGTGCTTTTTTAACTTTTAAGTCTTTAATCTTAGAGTAAAAACAAAACAAAAAAAACATTCCCAAGACAGCTTAGAGGTCAATGCTTGTAAGCCATACATCATTCATCTCAATGAGCTGAGCAGTCTTACCTCTCATCATCCGTGTCCATGCCTTCACGGTCTCTGGCCATCTCCTGCAGTTTCCAGTTCCTGCGCTTCACCCTCCTGCTGCGGTCGTAGCTCTTCTTGATCAGCACCTTTGAATGTACAAATGCTCAAATTCAACAACACACGGCATTTTTGTTCCTATGCGATTTAACGAAGGGATGAACGTTCAGAACTCCATGCAGGGTTTTAGTTTGCCACTAGAGGTCAGTGTTAATCAAGTCAACAAATCGTGTCGCTGAGTGCAGGTGACACTTACCACATCAGGAACATGGTGAGGGTTCATCTTATTAAGGTACTCATCATTGATGTTGGAATTGGCAAAGTCAAACCTACAAGATAAGAAGAAAATTAACCACTGACCATTATGTCATTATTTATTATTACCCTTATTTATTCATTGTTATCTGACTGTTCTGCGTACGCACCCCAGCACCAGGTCTCCAATATTGAGAAGGTGGCCCAGGAATGTACGGCAGTGGTACTGCTGACTGGTATTCATCTCTGATGTTTTCTGAACCCACAC